ATACACACACACACACATTATATATATATATATATATATATATATATATATACATATATATATATATATATATATATACGAATGAAATGTAGCTCCGGATAATCTCCGACGAAGTATCTAACACTTCTTACGATTTGCGAAAGTTAGTACATCGTGGTTGTGCATGTAGTGTCTCCTATAAATAATATTGAACCAAATCAAAGTTTGACCATGAAGAATGGCGATTTCAAAGTAAATATGGCTTATGTTATAGCTTATGAAAGTTGCTGTGAAAAACTGAGTGCGCATTGCACCATTCCACAGGTGTCGACCGTTTAAAAGTAGTTGCTCATAATAAGTCGCACTGACATCCCGCACAACATTTTGTGTATAATATAGTATGTCTGTGATGTACCTTAGATCCATCCGACGTTGTATGTATATCGAAGTAATTTAATCCCTTAGAAGGTTGTAAACCCGGACCAAATGACAATAACTCGGATATGTAAAATCATACTATTCCGTAGAACGTATAGTTGAAGTGGACTATACAGTCAACCTGCATCTCTCACCTTTCACTCAGAAGTCCGAGTCAGGAATATCTGCCCGGTCAAAGTATTCAATGCGTATTAAAACAGTTGAGATAGACAATTCGTTCACAAGGGAACCTTATCAGCTGTACTTACATATATGCGTTATATATATTAAATATACAATATACAGGCAGCAGGGTGTCAGCTCGATACATAGGCGATAGCTTAGGATACGTCACACGCCATCCGTATGCCTCTCTAGTAGAGAGATGGCCCTACTAGAGCGAGCCAAACTTAAAAAAATATATATAAAATATAAAAAAGTAAATAATACAATACATGTACACATAGTGATAACGCAATATATGTGTCATGCATTTCGTGGTGACGTTTGTTTCTCTAATTTAAGACACCTATTTTAAAGTTGCTAGATATTTATTCTAATTTATGTCGTATATTCTTTAGAGCGTCTATTAGTACGGAATGATTTAGACTTATTCATTGAAATAAGTTTAAAATATTTTTATGATATATCTCAAAAGATGATATGTTTTATTTTAAAAAATCAGAGATTGAAATATATGTATCCAATGCGTCATCAATTATGCGCCACCCAATCAAGTTTTTATTTGAATCCTGTCATCTAAAAAATGTATCCAGTCTTTGAGTTATTTATTTGTGACTTGAGTCAGAACTAAAAAGCACAAATATTTTAGTTCGTATACGTATTCTCAGTCTGTAAAATCTAAAAATATTATATCGCTACGACACCTAATTATTTAGCTCGTTTTAAAACTTCTGTATTTTAAACAAACTTTTCGTATGAAACTAAAGTCTAACCCCGATTCGTTCTAAAACTCAAACGGTTCAAATAGCTTATTTGCTTGTGCAATTTCATAACTTCCTTATACTATTTTTGGCAAGCTACGGTAATCTTCGTTTCGAAATGCTTCACAGGTGTTCAGAAACATGTCGACTTCGACTAGGCGGGCGATGTACGTCAATCAAGTTGTAACAGTAATCGAACGCGTTGTAAACATTACATTCGGTAGTTACCACAAGGTCCAGGTCGTCCGTAACTGCCAGCATGCTACATATCAGCCCCCATTCAATTAGATGGGGTGGGAGGGGGGTATCTCGATCTGAAAGTGAGAAATACCCTTGCTCTGTACAACTAAAATCGCCTATCCATCAGCTCCAATCTGTATTGACAGGCAGCTACACGGCCTAAGCCCAGCATACGAACCGTATGTGGTCACGGTGAATACGGCCCCACCCGGCAACCGGCCAAAATGCCCCCAATGTTCACCCACGAATGGTACTTGTCGAACAACACAGTGGCATCCCTACCAGCCGCCTGTACCACAATCTCCGCACCCCCAGGGTGGAAGTCCAGGAAGTGGGTCACGTTGTACACTTGTCCGCGAAGCACCATCCACGCGTCGTACTTGGTGTTGTGCTGTGGGTAGCAAGAGAATGGAGAGCAACGTGTAGAGGGGTTGTTAGATTGACTGATATTTGCGCTATGCGCTATGAAGAATTCAGTTTCTTTGAACGTGGAGATTAGGAAACGATTGTGAGATCGGCCTAGAGGTATGGCCAAAGTATACAAGTGAATGGACCGCAGTATTAGGTTAAATATGCAACACCGTCCAGTAAAATTAGGAAGGCTGCGCAACAAATTCGAGGGAACGTTCTGTTACCAATCCAGGCAAACTCGAAAAATATGAGCAACAAAAACAAATCAAATTGGGAAGGATTGCACTGTGACTACATTTAAAGGCAGATGATAAACCCACGTGGAACCACATATACAGTGTCCCGATTAAATATTAATCGTTACGTGCAGAAGTAGATGTGAACGCACTGGTTTATACGCTATAAATAGCACTCTGATGGCTACTGAGTGTACACATTCTATGCGGCAAAGCAAACAACATGTCGGATAGGAGTACAACAGTGTATGACTCGCGCTTACCTTCTTTAACTCTTCCTTGGTGACCTTCATATCAATCGGGTGCTTCCCTGTGAGACGCGAGAGCATCGTCCGATATTAAATAATTGGACAAACACGTAATACCAACAGAAACATATTGGGCTTATCCATAATGCACTCACAGCGTGCTGTATCTAGATGTAACTGAGTGGGGCTCAAGATGCGCTCACCCACCTATCGACGAGGTGCCTGATTTCGTTTGTTGAATAGAGATATATTTAAAATTATGAACAAGAAAGCACCATACATCTAACGACTCTTTATCTATAGGCCAGGTTGCACCAAACTGCCAAGAACCGTGACGAGATACTGAGATCGTCATGTGCTAGCCAAGTTATATACCCCAGGAATTCCGGACCGAAAAAGCCCCATCACTTATCAGTGTTTGGGGACGAAATGATTGGCTACAAACACGCTATTCGCGACAGATACCACCCAATAGGCACCAATTAAACAATCTTAAACTATATAATATAGTTATAAACGTCCATAAGTCTTGGAAGCAAGCAACTGGACTGGTTTTGAACGGTTGCTGAATGATTACACACACGCACTGCATTGATTGAGGTGTACAGAGTCGGATGGTTGAGAAACAACTATATATATATATATATATCTACTGATTTTGCAGCACGACGATTCGCAAAAGTGATCCACCATAGAACTACACTCATTTCTTTGTAGGTGTAAACTTTAGGTGAACAAATGTGTATTTATGACTTTTGCGTCATTCGAAACGTACAAATGTTTATCAGAATCACACCACGTGTTGAAGGGTCCACAAAATAATAGGTATGTAGTGAGTGTGCTAAACTGCACTTACACACACACAGACACACATACACACTATAT